ATAGGATACTTCTATGTATACTAATCGCACTTAAAAAATTAATTTAGGACACATAAAACAAGATATAGTAAATCACATACCCTAAATCTCAACCTAACCTAATTCATAAAGCAGATCTCCCCTTTTTCAATACCCCTCCTCCCTCACCCCCTCCTGCACCTTACCTTAAATTCAGTAGTCTATTGGCTGGTCATGTGATACAATGGGGTATTTTCCAGGGTGCAGGGAGTACATTTAAATCAAAGGCAGTCTGCAGTTGTGCATAGTTATACAGGGCCTGCATTTAGGGATTCTCATAAAGCCCAGTACACCTATAGCCAATTGGATTTGTGTATATCCGTGTATAACCATGTAGAGCCGCAGCCTGGTATTGTTTTGACAAGCCTGCCTGGATGCTGGTGTGTGCTGCACCTTGGCTTTGACTCCCAGGACAAAACTACATGGCAATAATATAAGCATATGACCTTTGTGGCTGTATACAGGAGCTCTAATATTGCAGAGAGCAGAATCAATTATCTGACATCAACACCACTCTCGGCAGCATTGTGCTGTGATCTCTCTCCAACATAGAGATGCACTGGGAGAAAAGGAGGGTGTCCATGACAGCCTGGCCTTCATTCATTTTTAAGCTTTTTGGGTATTTACTTTCAAAATAATTTTGGAAACTGCCTTCTTTAACTCTCAACGTAAGGGCTCAAGCACATGAGTGCACATGCTGTAAATTAGGCTTTCTAGTAGTTGTACACGGGTATATGCCAGTACATGCGTAAATCTGCGTATAAGGTACTGATGTATTCCCTGAATGCTGACTCAGTTTGGGGAATGCATCTGCATGCCATACATGAATTTACACGAGTACCAGGGTATACCCATGTACAGCCAGGCACAGTCATTCCTATGTAAGGATGGCTGTATGCACCAGCTCTGTATCCTGGGTGCCAATAAAAGCAAATTTAAGTCAGTGGCGGACTTAAGGAGCCGAGGGCCCTGGTGCATGATTTCATCTTGGGCCCCCTCCTTCCCACTCCCAAGGGGGGGCAAGAGCGGATCTCACTGGTCCCCCCCCCCCACCCCCGGCGGTCTCTGCACCAGAGGAGCTTACACTCTAATGTCCTCCCACAGTCACACACTATTATTATACATTTTAAATAGCTCTGACATATACTGCAGTGCTGTACAGAGAAGACTGAGCCAGTCGCACTGGTTTCTGTACAGAGGAGCTTACACTCTAATGCAGAATGGCACCAGCTGTAAAACTCCCAGCAATACATTATACAGCAATGCAAAACAGTATATGAATTTGACTCTGGACTCAGGAATGCACTGGGCTCTGGACCCAGCTGAGACCCCGTAGAGACCATCCAGGAGTGACCCTGCACAGCCCATCTGAGACTCTCTATTGTCGGCTCTGTAGGGTCGCAGGTGGGCTGGTCGGGTTTCCTCTTCCTGCACACGCAGTTCCTCTTACCTGCTGCTGGGACCCAGCTCCTCCACCTCCGGACCAATGATGCTGGGCCCCAGCCTTCTCCACCTCCGGACAAGCGATGCTAGGCCCTGGCCACCTCCAGACCGACAATGCTGTGCCCTGGCCTCCTCAACTGCCAGACTGGCACTTCTGGGCCCCGGCCTCCTCAACCACCGGACTGGCGCTGCTGTGCTCCGGCCTCCTCCATCTACGCTGCTGGGCCCCACCCTCTTGACCGGGCTCCCCTCTGCCCTGGGCATGGCGGCTGTTATGCTACTGCCCGGGGGCAATTGACTCATGGCTTAGTCCTCCCCGTCAGTGGGCGCAGGCCTCCCCAGCCTCGGGCCCTGGGCAGTTGCACCGGCTGCACTGCTGGTACTTCTGCCCCTAAATCAAGTTGTATGCCCTTAAATGCGCCCATGTAAATGAGCCCTAAATTCTAAACCCATAACATCAATGTTACAATAATATAACCATCCCAAAACAAATATTCAAAACACCATAACATTGATATGCCATTATATCAACAGTGGAATTCCAGGAAAAAAATTAAAAACGTTTAATTGGTTCCGCTAAGTTACCTCTAATGCTTGATATACTGGGTCCAAATGGGTGTTGGGCTTGCTAAAAAACGTGGTTGTATTCATGCCTGATACTACTGTCAGCTTTGATGTTTTGGCTCTGCTGCTGTGAGTTCGGGAACTCGTATAGTGAAGAAGAGAGTTGCTCCGTCTTCTCCCTTCCTAGCCCCTTTTCCATTCATAAAAAGTATTTTATTCTTTTCACAGCATACAAGGAATTCTGTGATTGGACAAGGGGTGAGGAGTGGCCAATAAATGACAGGGCCACCCCTTGTCCAATCACAGAATACTTTGAATTCTGTGAATAGAATACAAGACATTCTATGAATGGATGAGGGAGAAGAAGCAATTGTCTACAGTACTTCTCTGTGCAAGTGTGGAACTGACAGTAGCAAAGCTGGAAAATCAAAGCTGACAGTAGTATCTGGCATGAATTTATCGACTGGTAGATCGCGATCGACCTTGTGGGCACCCCTGATTTATGTCAACGGCTATTTTATGGCAATTAGAGGCTACCTGTACTTCCATTTAATAGTTTACTGTACATAAAGTGACAATGAAAAATAAAAATCCCTGCACAGATTTAAATTTCAAAGTTAAACTTGAAGATACAGTATGTCTGCAAATATTCATAATATATTTTACAAAGTCAATGTCAGTGCGTCTTTAGCCCACACATTCTCAGCTAGTGGTACAAATAGAGGCAAAAACTAATGTTCCTAGTATATTCTTTTTTTTTCAGGTTACAGGTTTTTTTTTATGTAACATTCGGAAAATGCTCCATTTTGGCCTCAAAATGGAGCTGAGAGGCACAGGTAATAGGTATTCATTTATATGCTCCTCAGCTCATCTAGTGGCCATAATGTAAATGTAGTATTTTCTGAACGTTACATTCGCACCACCAAAAAGAAAATATACTATGAATGTTTGTTTTTGCCTCTATTCTCACAGAACAAACATTTACAGAGGTTCACAGGCCAATGGCTCTGCATATTGTTTATAAAAAGTCTCCTATGTGATTCTCAGCAAACAATCTACTAGATTGTAAGCTCGCACAAGCAGGGCCCTCCTAACCCTCCTGTTTTGAACTGTATTTTAACTGAACAGTCTCCCTTTATATTGTAAAGTGCTGCACAAGCTGTTGGTGCAATATAAAATCACGGACAAAAACATTGGCACCCCTGTATTTCCGTCAGATAATGCACCACTTCGCACAGAAAATTGAGAGCTGAATTGTCAAGCGTTTTGTCGCACCGATTGAAACGTAACAATATGCTTAGGTGTAAATGGAGTCTAAATTGTAACCTATGTAATCAGCTAATCATAGCACTCATTTCCATTTGGGCGTGTATAGTAGAGGATGTGATACCACTGTGTACCGTCATATACCATGTATTTGTCATTTTAATCCATCTTCACTGCCACTCTATTCTGCAGGAATCCAATGTTACCCTGGCCATCTCACTGGAGCAGCATCAATTAACTTTTCTAGATGATTGCCGAACTACAAATTTAAAGAAGACCAAGCCCCAAGATTACTGTTAGCATTTGATTATTACTAGAGCCCCCAGGAAGAAATATAGAAATAGAAATATTATTATTACTATTATCATTGTTATCAGTTATTATTAATATTATTCCTTGGATCAATGTTAGTTAGCATGAACACCATACTTATAACAAAGTTGACAAAATGTAACTGGTAACAGTTTAAAGAAAAAGTTTAAAAATAGAGGGCAAGTAAACCTGTTATGAATGAAATATCTGTCATTCCTTACCTACCTTTATAAATGCTATTTGCCTGGCTATTATGCTGATCCGCTTGCTTCAATACTTTCTGCCCAAAACCATCAGGGAGATCAGGTTGGAGAAAAGTCAGTATATACGTTCCAGGCTAGTAACTGTAAGTACTGAAACAAGAGGATCAACAACGACAGTAAGAAATCAGGGCCCATTCACCGAGCTGTGTTGGGCTGCTTTGGGCATCCTTGGTCATAGACATGTGCTATTAGCTTCGGAAAGATTAGTTATACAGACACATTTTCAGAAATTTGTACATTCGGATGCATCCAAATTTACAAATGACAGAAATAACATATTAATACAAAATCCGAATTTCTGCTAATGAAAATTTCGGATGCATCCGAATTTCTTTCCCGAATGAAGTTTTATTGTGTTAAGGATGAACTTAAAAAAAAAAGTCAGGATTTTCGTTAGCGGTAGTATGTACGCATTTTCGTTACGAATGAATAGTGTTCGTCCGTAACGAACATTCGTTCATACTACCGCTAACGAAAATTCGGATTTGTCCGAATCACGAAACTAATTGACTTTCGGACCCGAATCCTGAAAAAAGAAATAACAAAAAATCTGAATAATAAAGAAACTAAACAAAATTTTGGCCAGCGCACGTGCCTACTTGTTCAGCACAGTCCCAACGCAAAGACAAGCAAATTTGCCTTGTTTACAATCAGATCAGTCCGCATTGCAGCGGCGTGCGTTGAAAAAAGTACTGCATGCAGCACTATCATTTCAGTGCAGCGTGGTGCAACGCAGTCCACTGCATCACACTGCAGTGAGGCTGATAGAACTAATAGCATTGTAATTTCTTGACTATTCAATACATTTCTATTAAAAAAGAAGTTACGGTGTGATGTGCTTTTTCCAGCACATCACCATTGCAGTCTAGAGAGTAGGTCAGCAGCTGTGTTACATCAGTTTTGAACAGGTCCTAAGAAGGAAAAACTACAATGTCTGTAATATGAAAGGATTCTTTTTGCTCTGAAAAGTGACAGATGTTGGTATTATATTAAATGAATGCAGAAATGTTTTTTCTTTTTCCCCTAGATATGTGTTCTACGGCAGACAAGGATTTCAGGGTGATCTGGGGAAAAGCACGGTACTTTTCCATGGTAGAATATACAATGATTTCTTGACAAGTTCACGGCAAGGAAATGGCAGATCAGCAACAGATGAAAACTTCCTTCCTCTTTATCCAGCTGAAGTCACCAAGCAAATCTGCTCAGCATTCACAGAAGGCGTGCAGTTTGGCAGAGGGAAGTTTGTTAGCTGCAAGCAGAAAGGCATGTGACACCAGGGGGCCAGATTCTTCTGTGAGAGAAGACACACAGCCTGCCCTCAGCAAGCTAAAGATAGAGGCAGACAGCTCTGCCCAGAAGAGAGTGTCATGCTTAAACATCTGCACAGCAATGAGCAATGGCACCAAGAGCAGCCCATCCACTGCCCAAGGCTACACACTGGCCAAAACCAGGGAAAGAACCTTTACTGATGATCAGGAGGAGGGTTCTTGTAACCAACTCAGAGAAAATGCAGCCTACAAATCTACGGTCCCAGTGAGAAACCAGTATGCCTCACACACTAACTCTAACCCAAGTCACAGTTATGTCTCCAACTGCTGGAATGTGATGGATCAACTTCCCAGCCAAGAAGAAGATAAGATGTGGTGGAAGGTTGAGGTACTCAAGCCCAGCCTGGGAAACCCACCGATTCATCTGAGGAGCCCTGAATGCAAAACTTTCCGGGATGCTGTAGTGGAAAAATCAGCTGTATTAACAGGGATAAATGACAGAGCAGAGGGAAACCGGTTGGAGGGGCAGATTCTGGCTACCAAGTACACCATGTCAGTGACTACTGCCAGCCCTGTCAAACTTGAAAAGGTAAGCCTTTCTTTAGCGATCAGCTTTAGTCATTAATTAATGTATGTGCTTAAAAAAAAAATCTACATTTGTTAAATTCTTGGCAGTGATGATCTGTAGACATTCTAATTACTGAACCGTTAACCTTGACATTACAGGCCTGATTGCTTAAAAAGTCTTGACCATAGCAACCGTTCAGCTTCTAGCTGTTCTATTTCTAGAGCATGTTATAGAAGTTTTTCTGCTATTAGAAAACCAGTTTTCCAGTTTACATAAATTAACCCCTATGCTCAGTTGTAAACCTATAAGATATTTCACTGTTAGGTATTTGCAAATACAACCCCCCCTATGCCCCCCCCCCCCCCCCCCCCCAAAAATATGTTTTAGACATCTGGTTGCTAAAACTCCATGCAGATGGGAAAAAAAGAAAAAAGAGATGTCAAATTATGATATTGGCTTATTGTGTAATATAATATTAGTGAGTAAGGAGAGTTTAATAACGTGCAGATATCACTACTTTCTGCAAGTGATTAGGAAATCAGAATGATGAAATCTAGATTAAACTTGAGAAATAGTTTTTAAACTCTCAAACTCTTTTTCAATATTGAATATACATTGCCCAGGAAAGTATTTCTTTACATTTTTACCCAAGCACTTAGGGCTTGTTCACACCAAATGCAGACAAGATCTGCAGTGTAGTGTGTTTTGGTGTGTTCCGGGACTTTTTTTTTAGCCTAAAATGGGTTTTCAGTGCATTTGAGGCGTTTACATGTGTTTTTTATGCATTTGCATGCATTTTGGTGTGTTCCAGAGCAGAAAAAATAGGACATGCTGCAGTTTTTCCACATGCTCTGGAACTGAACGCTCTGGAGCCCAATACCATTGGAATACATTGGATGCATTTGTGATGTGTTCTGTAACTGCTCTGCATCTGCTCCGTGCTTGGTGTGAACTAGCCTTTTAGAGTAATCATGATTCAAAACAGTTGTCTCTATTTCCCTCAACTTGGCATCCCTGAACTTCCTTCAGTACAAGATCACAAGGGACAGAGAAGTCTGCAGCAATTAACCATCTATTAGCTTGGAGAAGGGAGGAGGGAAGAACAGGGAGCAGGAAAGAGGCTTGTCTTACTGTGCCTGTGTGTTTGTGGAGACACACACAGGTTACTAGCACACACAAGGGTGGCTCCATAGGACACTGCAAGGGAATGGAGCCACCCTAAAACAGGATATTTCTGAATGACACTAAAACTTTTAAAGAACTATTGGGAAAGTAAAATATATTCTTCCCAATAGTTTGAGCCGGCGTGTCACAGCTGCAGTGACTCTATAGCTGATCAATCACAAACAGCTGATCGAAGGAGCATGTCGGAATATTCTCGCTGAACAGAGCTAGAAACCAATCAGTATTCTGACAGCAGGAGATTCCTCAATCAATGCTCGTAAGCATTGATGGAGTAGTCTGTGCTATTTTCTTCGTTCAGCCGGCAGGTTGAATGACGAAAATATATGTGAACTGTATAAAAATATATGTGTGTATACAGTACTTTAGTGAAGAGGTGAATCTTTGCTCATTGTAATACCTAACCATCTGCAAGAGAAATAAAATGGACTGCTTCGTAAATGATTGGCAGAATAATGCTGCCCTATTGGTAAAATAAATGTTTAAATGAATGTAAAGACATGAATGCTTATCTCTCTGTTGTCCACATAACCAATGTCTACAGTATTGAAAAGAAATCACTGGCTAAAGATCCTGAAGCCTGAAGAGTGTTGATCTCCTGGTCCCTTACTGCACTCAGTGGTTTGGTCCATCCTCCAATACATCACTACTGTGTCCTATAATGACATAGGGACCATCAGAAAGAACTACTGTGTGCAGCAGGGTCCTAAAAGAGTCAGATTTTGCTGGATCTACATCCGGTGATTTCTCTTCACTACTGCAGAGATTAGTATCACAGGCAGCAGGAAAGGTGAGCATACTGTATCTTCTTTGAAGAACACACTTTATTTCTAACATTTATGTCAGAGAAAGTGTCACTTTAAAGTGCACACAACTTCCTAACTAACTAGTTGGACATTCTTTACTATGGTAAATCAACCCTAGTATATGAATACTTCCATGATAGCTTCTAATATGTGGCACCTAGTCACACAAGTGTTTTTCTTCATTACAGAGACTCTTCACGTGTAAATACATCACCTCTACTAGTTTCAGGTAAACAGCTAACAGAGCCCAGAGAGGCGATTTCACAAACAGCTGGCACCTGAAACATATATTTGCATTTGCCAGAAACAAGAATCAGTCTTTGTTTAATACAGAGTAAGCCAGTTTTGTGTTTTAGTACACAGATCATCAAACCACAGCCAGCCAACAATCTTGAGGCACCATTCACACCTAAGCATGAGTGTAGCAAGGGGATTTAAAGGCTTTTTTGAATGTTTGTACAAGTATTTTTTGCGCAACGTAGTACAGGAGCAGAATCCTGTGTTTTAAGCCCCAATAGACCTTGCATAGACTGACATGCATAAACATATATTTTTTAGGCACTCTCATTAAAGTCTATGGTACCAAAACACACAATTCTGCCCCAAAAAAAGGTGTGACTGGGGCCTTAGTGTTAGATTGAGTGGGGAAGGGTTAGAACTTCTGTTATGTTTGAATTTTTTTGTATAAGACTCGATTGGGGAGATTTTCCTTCACTTCCCGCCTCTGTGACATCAAGACAAGAAATAATGGGAATGGGTGTCTCTGGTATAGGAAGGCATGGACAGCATTAAAAACCTTACAGAATTTAAACTCCTTCCCTACTTTAGACCCCATTCACACCAGGGCAGTTGCGGATCAGCGCGGTTTTGGAAGTTTTTATTTGCGTTTAAGTGCTGAACCGCAATTAAAAACGGCCAAAACCACGATGAACAGCACAGTTGCACAAATTACATGAAATTTTAGTATTATGTCCTGTAAACAAAGTTAAATATAAAACTAATGCTATACATGTAATGTAAAGCTGAACTCTAGGCAGCTATAAAATATACAAATAATTGTAATTTTTAAATTCAAACATTGTACGTACTTGAATTTGACCTGGTATCCTCTTGCAGTCACTGTAGAACGGAGCTGGAGTGTGAGAGGAAGAAGCAGTACAAGAAGCCAATCAGTTAATTTGCTTACAAGAAGCATTCTGATAGTAAGAGAAAGCTAAGTGACACAGAGATGAGCTCATCACTGTACAGCTTTTCCTATCCCTGTCCAGTCATAGCCTGGGATTAGAGGAAGTGGGTTGAATGATGCTGTTCCCTGCTCCCTCCAGGCTGGTAGACCTATCCCCTCAGCCTCTTCTCCCTCTTGCTTCAGTGGTCTAAAGGCCGCTGATGCCATTGGATCTCTGTTAGGCTCAGCAGGGTCTCTGCTTGGCTCTGCGGGGTCCCTGGTGTGTTTTTTTTTTTATTTTGGGGGGGGGGGGCCAAAAAAAAATCTTGCACCAGGGCCCTTTGTTCCTTAGCTCCGCCACTGGATGCCATCACATCTAATGCAGGTTCCTTAGACCGGCATTAGACGTGAGGATGCCAAGGGACATTCTACTACCTGGGGGAGAAGGAACGGGGACTGTGTATATAAAAGTGCAAGTCCCCTAGACATAAATGCAAGGGTAGCTTTTTGGTTTGCCTAGAAATGGGCTTTCAGCAAAAGCTGTTTTTGCTATTTTCTTTTTTTCTTTTAATGAGCTATTCATGTTCATCTTGTTATTTTTGGCTGTAGCTATGCTTTGAAGTCTAATTGTTCACTCAGACTAGAAAAAAAACAGTGGTTCAACAACAGGGGTTGCAGCAGAAGTTAGCACCACTACAAAGACTCTAGCCCTGGTGGGTTCCATCTCCAGCACAGTTCTAAGTTAAGAATATTGTCTAAAGGTTTATTTTTTCTCTTTGGAATTTCTGCCATGGCCACTGTCTGGTCTGGTTTTACACTTAGTGTAGACATTATTGAAGTTGATTTTATTAATGAAAATATGTTGTCATTCACAATTTGCTTCAATGCCCAAGGGAGTGTATCTACTGTCTTGTGGAAACACTGATCTAACGTCCTTTCTTTGTTTTGTATACAGACATGCATATTAGGAAGTATTTAATCCACCATTACTGCACACAACAGATAGGAGTTGCCTTGGAGCCTTCTGACCTATATACTGTGTGTGTGTGTGTATATATATATATATAGGATGCACCGATATATATCGGCTGCCGAAAACATATTGGCCGAGAATGGCACTTTTGGCTCAATGCCAGCCGATTTAGCGGCGCATCCCTGCTTTCTTTCCTCCCCGCTGGGACACAGAGCAGTGCCTGAGAGAAACTGTGACAGTCGACCGAGCGCTGCGGGAGGAGAGCACTGTGAGCGGCCGGCGTCTCTCCTCCCACACCACTCAGCCTCCCATCACAGTCCGGCAGAGCGCTGTGTGGGGGCAGAGACAGCCAGAGCTGTCACAGGAGGCTGTCAGAAAGGAGAGCCAATGCAAACACTTACTCACACAGATCAGTGATCGCTAAGTATTTGTACATAATTGAGGACATGGTATGTTTGCATGGTATGTTTACTATATCCTCAATAGGAGTGAATAGGAGTGATCTACTTCACCTCCTGTTCATTCATAGTTGTAGATATAGTAGACATACTATGTTCTCAAGTTATGAATGAACAGGAACACTCAGTATAGAGGATTCCTATTCATTGATAACAGGGGCTGCAGAAAAAAGAGATTGAGGACTTTGTTTGGACTCCTAATATTTCCCCAAAGCCCCTAAAAGTAAAGTAAAAAAATAAAATATTTAATAAAAAATGAATAAAATATCAATATAAAACAATTACAAAGTTTATAAAAAAATAAATACAAATTAAATATTTAAAAAAAATTAAAATAAAAAACATTTTCGGTTTCGGCCTGACAATTCATAGCCTATAAAAATGAAAATATTTCAAAGGACAGTGTATAGAAACAGAAAAAAATAATAACAAACAAT